ATCTCAAAAAAATTTCGTATAGTTATTCGAACAGCGATAAACGCGTTGATGAAAATTAAGCACATTATTTATATTTTGTAAGCTTTTTCTTAGAAATCATTGTTTAAAATTGTACACTATGACGGCGACAATCGTAGATGTTTTGTCCAGATGAGAAAATCGAGCAATAATTACATGTTTTATTTCATACGCATATATCGTAAAGGTATATGACGGCATGTAACTTTGCTATATGATATATAAAAAGAAAAAAATATATTTGTATATTTTTGGAAAAATGTAACATTATTTTTGACTGCTTTCGAAAAGAATGTAACCACACATATATAAAATATAATATCAAAAAATGTGATATATGTTGAATTCATTATAATATATTCGCAGTATTTTTTGCATATATTGCATCTTTAGCAGCACGCATGTGATAAGTTGCGGACTAGAATATGCATGACCTCATTTCTGACATTTTGATTTTCATTAGTACCTTGGATAGTTATGCAAATATGTATAATAACACTATGATTATAACTAAATGACAATAAGAATATAGCGTTACAGCATGTGAGAAAATGATATATACAAGTATAATGGGTATATATAAGTAAAAACTAAACCATAACAAATAAACAAATTATAATAAATATACTAATAGAATAATTTTTATCAACGTTTTACATCGTAGTATTTTTCCTTATTTTTTAAAGAATTTTTTCATTAATTTTTTTTCTTTCTTTACAAATTGAATATTTTGTGTTAAACACTTGCTTAATGGTATCCAAAAACAATCTATGAATTTTTAGAGGGAATAAAACGCGTTGCAAAAATTTTCGGAAATATAATGCCTCCGTATTTCATTCCGAAATATATTCTTTGGTACAGAAACTTTGATATTGTTCCTTACAAACGGGTAGTTTATTCGCGGCTAGTGTGACAGATTTCGACCACGCCTTACCGATATGCTACCCTCTTGCCCAGCTACCCTTAGGATCTATTGACGACATATCGAAAATTTGCCGGCTTTGATCCGCACGCGGCGACTTTTCGGCACCGCATGTTGTTATTTTCGTCGGCGTCAGTCTTTAATGAAGACATTTAATCCGGTATATTATTAGTTAGAAAAGATTATATATTACGTGTATAGTTGTAGAATTTATTCAAAGGAGAGTATTATATTATATAATTTTTTAACATTTTATGCAAAAAAAGTTATCAAAATATTAAAAATATACTCAATTTAAATAAAATTAACATAATTTCGAGTTTAGATTCTGACGCAAAAAGCCGATAAAAGATTGTTTTCTATGTCTATTCGCAAGAATGTAAACTGAACTCATTATAATTATAAAAGTGTTAAATATACATATACCAAATGTGTTCATTTTGCTTTCTTAATATTGTTTTCCTTTTTGTTATATTTACCTACACGTTATAGAATAAAATATATAGAGACAACTTTAAGTCAATTTTTTAACTATAAACCTTTCAGAAAATTTTTTTTCATTTTTTTCCCAATCGTGAAATGGTTGTTTATTTTGTTTAGGGAGGACGCGCAATGTCGGTGGCCTAGTTTCTAGGGAGCCAGCAAATTGACTTTTGCCAGTTCAATGAAAACAGCGGCCAAGCCTTTGAAAGCGCGCCGCGCAACTTCTGAGACGTCGATGCTCCGAATGAGCTCTCGAAACTTTACATTTCTTCGTCGTGCTTTTTTTTTAACCCCTCTGTTCGATTTTGTGAAGCTCATCGATCTCCTACGGTGGTAGAGAAAATCCTCTCCTTCTCTTTCACGAACGTCTCGTTGGAGACGGCTCGAAAAGGGCGCAAAGACGGAGGACTCGCGGAAAATCGAAGAGCAACCTTGTGTCTGTGAGCGCGCATATTCCACCGCCTCGTGAGGAAAGAAAATGCGCGACGCAAAAGAAAGGAAAAAAAAAGAGAAAAAAAAAGAAATACAAGAAAAAAAGAATAAAAAGAGGAAAGTAGAAACATACAAAGGCGCGCACGCGAGACGATGGGGGACTTAAAAATGATATCCACCGTGGGACAAAGCGAAGGCACGACGCAAAGAAAGTCAGAAATGAAAATGGAAATGCCGACAGCTACGACGATGCAAATCGCGAAGAAAGCTTGGAAAGAGGATGAGAAGATAGTAAACACACGAGCGCATCCATGCCACTCAGCATAATTAGCGCGTAAGTGTTTTATAAATAATTTTTTATTAACGGCCTGCTTTCCACTAATTTATATAAATGCAATTAAATTAATTTTTCGGATAAGAACAACTAATAGCTGCCTGTTAGTGTTGTACTGATATTTTTTACAAATATTACAGATTAGAAAATTCAGAAAAATAAAAATGAAATTAACTACTCTGCGAGGTCTTACAAAATCAATCGGCCAAAACGTGAGTGGGCGATCTCGGCGAAATCCCGAAAAAGAGAAAAAATCAAGAAACGCAATCTACCGCGGCTCAGCCAAAACAAAAAAAAAAAAAAAAAAGACGGACCGTGCGACAAGGTGACAGAGGGGGAAAATGGAGAACGCAGACTGAGTCTCCAAATTACAAATCCTCCGAAAAAGCCGGGCGCGAGATACACAAAGACATTTAGCCGGGTCGAATGCATCTCACGGCGCAAACGATGCACCATCGCGGCGTGGCGCGGCTATATACGCGCGGCACGCAGGTGGGTCACACAGGCGTGGGTGTACATTACAATCAAATCCCGAAAAAGGGGGGAAAAGAATTAAAAAAGCTATCTGCCGCGAGATAATAAAAACGAAGACGAGAGCCGCGCGCGGAGGAAAAGGGATACGACAGAGAGATAGAGGAAAAAGAGAGAGAGTAAAATAGAGCGAGGAGGAGGAGAGCGAGATAGAGGATAGAGGCAGAGGTAGAGACGAAGAGAGACAAACGCAGAGTCGAGGGCGGGAAGGACGATGATGACGAGGACGGGGCGATGGTGAGGAGGGTCTCCTACGCCATATCCCCTTCGCGCGTATTGGTGACTGGGATGAAGCGTGTGCGTCGTCGGAAAAGCGCTACACGCTAGTAGCCCCGGAAAGAAAATCGCTCGCAGGCTATTTTCCGGAGGAATTTTTTATTGGTACGCGCGCCATGTTGGCCAGGGTGGCGGGGACGCCGCGGGCGCCCTGGCAGCCTGCGCGATTGGCCGTCGTCCGGGCGACGCATCCTCCGCTGGACCAATCCAGCATCTCCGCCACGCTCCTCGCGCTCTCGCATCGCGGGGGTAGCTGTGACGCTGACGACGGCGCGGCAAGAGACGAAGGGGGCAACCGGTTACGAGCAACAACCCCCTACCACGAGCGACGACGACGAGAGAGGCGCAGGCAGGCAGCCCCTCGTACGCGTTCTCTGCTCACTCACCCCCGCGCGGAGTCACCGGGATAACTGCATTTCGCGGACAGAATCCCACAAGAACTCACGGCGAGCGGTCGCCCCCTCTGACTCGCTCTCTCCGCTCCTGTCGTCTCCGGGTTTTCCCACCGCGTTGTCCTTCGCAAGGAAGGAAGGAAAGAAGGAAGGAAGGACGGAAGAGCGCGTCGTGCACGTCCTCGTCGGCGTCGTTGTTGCCGCCGTCGTCGTCGTCGGCGTCGTCGGCGTCGTCATCGTTCTCGCCGTCGTCGTCGTCATCTCGCGGTGCGCGCCATTTCTCGCCAATTACTCCGATATTCGAATTTTCAAGGCCAGCTGATCCCGAACGCGCGTCGACGAACGAACCCTTCCCCCTCACGGGGGTCGCGTATCCTTCTAATTGGATCGACGAGATAATCAGATTTGAATCGCGGCCGAATTCCAGAGTCGCGTCGATCACCCATCCGCCGCGTAATCTCGACAATTCAAAAATCTTGGAATTAGTATCGTGAATTTATTTTCATCATTTGCGTATTTATTATTCGCCACTTTTGAGTATCGAGCTGTCAACGAAGAAAGAATCGAAGGAGAAAGAAGAACGTGTCCTCGACTTTTCTCGACGTGTCTTCGAAATTGGATTTCTTAACTGGGCGGTTCTTGAAGAGATCATCGAAGAACCTTCTATAGAAAAGCACAAAAAGAAGAACCGCGCCCCTAAGTGAAGTCTGAAGAAACGCCTAAGTTTGGAAGTGCAACGGAATTGCGATTATAGAAGAGACGCACAAATCAAGTCCAGCCTAACTATTCTTTGTTAGTAAATTAACTTCCGACATAGATGTTCATCTTGTTAGAGGCAAAAGTGATCGCCAATTGGATCTGGATTAAGTTGCTTAAGCAAATAAGAAGATAAGCGAATAAGAAGAACTGTTGCGAAAATCTCGCTGCCTGCAAATTTTTACGACGATTGATCGTACTATGCCGAAACATATTTAATATTCATCGTTAAATCTCTGATGTATTCTAAGAGAATCGAAGATCATTGACAGAGATTTGATTAGCAGTTGGAATTTAGATTAAATTAATGCTAAATCGATAAGCAATATTTTACATAATTATTCAATTCTTAAAAATAATCAACAAATGGACCTTGCTCTAATATTTATCATGCGATAATATTCAAGACAAATGTCGTTAAAAACTTTCAACAACAGTGATATCAAAGGTGCAACGCACAAGTGTTTCGAGAAGAATGTTTAAAGAAAAAGAAATCTTTAGAATCGTCCGGCTACTCTCCAAATTCTTGGACAGTTCGTAAATGTACAGCAGCTAATTACACGAGATATATTCTTTTAAGGAGCCATTTTAAACGGTCCGGAAGGTGAATTATTTTCGGAACAAACCGAAAGGTGTGAAAGTTGAGAAATATACTTTTTCACGACTCGCGGTCAAGCCCGTCGTTAAAGTCACCAAGATATTGCCGGAGGATAACGAATCTCGCTCGCCCAAGTCCGCGACAACGTTTTTCAACGATCTCGGTGCGTCGATCCGAAGAGAATAACATAACGCGTATCCGCTGGGCCAACGCGGAGCGCCCTCATCGCAGACTCGCGTCGGAAGATGTCTTCGTAGGTAGTCGAGAGCTCACCCAGGTGCTTCCAGTACGAGCTACCTCGACCAGGTCACCCCGGCATCACCCTGGCTAACGACCTATCCGGAGGTACCGGGGGTCCCGGTGCGGGCGGCGTCGGTTCCGTCGGTGGTACCACCGTCGGCGGCGGCGGCGGTGGCGGTGGCGGCGGCGGTTCGTCCCTGCCGACGACCGCCCTTAGCCTCGACCATCAGCAATTCAACATCTTCCCGGCGATTTTCAGCCGGCAGCTCAACTTCTCCGCGGCGGCTGCTGCCAATTGTGGTCAGAACAAACTGATGGATGAGCTCAGGCCGAATCTGGGTCTGCTCGGCGTCGGCCTGGTCGAGAACGACAGTTTCCACTTGAATCACAATCAGGAGAAGAGAAAGTGCAGCAGCGCCAGTTCGAATGAGCAGGACTTCGGCCTGTACGGGGTGCACCAGGGCCTCGAGGCGAGCCCGCCGACGCCCGCCGCAACGCCCGGTAGAAGCAGCGTCGGAGCTACCACCACTGTCGGTGAGTATCGTCGGTCATCATTTCGTTTGCCTCAACTATTTTCGAGAATTTCACTCGTTCTACATTATTATTTATATTAGCAAGGATTAAGCTCCTGTTTCGGTCGTAATTGTAATTCCAATCGAATAAAATTATTAGAATCTGCATAATAACGACTCTGAGAAATATTGTTTTCTAAATATAGTATTTCTGTAATTATTAAAAATATTCTAATATAAAAAATGGATTATTTCGATGCTTTATAAATTATAATCTTCTGCAAAAGAATGTGACAAAGTCATACGGTTGTGTGTCTTGTAATCCGGTATACGCTTTTATAACTTTCGAGGCGTTGCACTTTTGCACCGTCGTTGAAAGAAAAATGGACATCGTGTCATCTCGAGATAGACGTATTTTCCGCTTGTTGAGCCTCGAGCACGCGTACACATTGACAACACACAGTCCCGAGTGCTGACAATGGATCGGGTGGGCCAGACATATGGTGGTACCTGTTCTATGGGCTATTATTATGTGCTAGCGGGGCTTAAGAGAGCTTAGCACCGGGGGTGTGCTAATGGGGTGGGCTCGAAACGTCGGGTAAAGCTTGAACGAGTGACGAATCTCGCGCCCAGCTTCGACGAGTCGAAAAACTCGGAATTGGGATCACATGAAAAGACTCGTCTCCGGTTTCCTCTCATTTTTGTCATTGTATCACGATTCATATTTCGCATGTGTCCGATACGCTCGTCAATTTGCACTTGTTGTGCAAAATAGATCACATCATTTTGAAACGTATATAGAAGTGATGATTGTTCTTATATGTTTGTATAAATTTCTCTGAACTTTTATTGAAAGTATTTTAATATCACGCATTTTTTCATAGAAATGCAGCATAAAATAAACTTATTAAAACTTCTGATAACGCGTAAAAAGCATTTTCAACAAGACAGAAGCTTCGAAATCTTTTATTAACATATGCTTCTAAATCTTTTATTAAAATATACTGTTTATAATCGTTATTATAATTAAACTGTGCACTTTACAACAGATTCTTAATGCGGGTCTTCATATCTCTATGCAAAAGATTCGGCATTCGTTAAATAAACGGAGTTCAACAGGTCGGCCGCAACAGCGGTCGTTAGAATTTTTTCACCCTTATTATACCCGAAAATGAATTTCACGCGGTGGCACCGATTGTGAACAGCGATATCCAGCATTCCGTCGCACCCTTCAAGGTCAGGGTTTCTGGAAACGAAATGAGACTACCGCGGTATTCTCATGCAAATGAAAATCCGACAGCGTCGGCCGCTTCGCGATGAGAGAAAAAGAGGTAGCGAAATAAAACGAGAACGGTGCGGGGATGGAGGGAAAAATTAATGTCGTTAACCCCCTCGCGCGTTCTCCCGGGTATTAAAAGTACTCGAGCGATGGTCTTCCGCGCGCGATTTCCGCGTACTCCTTAAAACAAGAACGTTCTGTTCATCTGACGGGAGCCCGGTAATATCACCGGCTTCCAGTTTCACTCGTAGAGTAAAATAAATTTGTTCTGCCCATTTGCTTTATATGCGATATACCCAGTATATAACTAATACTGTAATATACTTAATTATACCGTAGAAAATGTGCGTTACGAACAAATGTTTTACTTAAATCTGATAAAAATTCTATTGGAAAAATGTCGGTCAAAAAGTTACTATTTATAACGCTACTTTCTCATTTTCAAAGTTTAATATCTTGCTAACTAAATTTAAAATTAAAATCATGTTAAAAAAATTTGAAATTAAGATGCAGAATAAAATTTTCTTATTTATTTGATCTTTCGAAAGCTTAAAGCTTTTTGCGAAAAGAAATTTTCAGTTGCTTGTAACATAAAATAATTTTTTTTATCTTTCGCTATTTCTATAAACTAGTTACAAACACTCAAAATTAATATGAATTTTTTGATATTGTTCTTAGTACAAGTTTGAGTTTGAGTTGTTTCTTACTTGCGAGGAGAAACGAATTGGCATTGTATAGAATAAATTTTGGAAACACAATTTTGTATCAGTCTTCGCGAGACCGATAATGCCTTCTAATGTGACAGCAGATGCCGACGGATGGCAGCTGTAGGTCAAAGGCCATTGCAGTCCGTATTACCAGTAATCCTGTAAAGCGTGTCATTCGTCGCGCGTCATCTCGTTAAAATCATCGCTAATTACCCTCGACCCCCTGACGGCTACCGAAATCTGCGGGGGCAGATGTTCGCCGTCGGCACGACGTCGCGCCACAATGTGCTCTTCTTCCTCCCAAACCTTTTTCGAGTGCCGCTCGTTCAGATTGCTAGCAAACAGCTTGTAACTTTGCCCGACAAAGGGTTAACTCGGTTGTGAACGACTGGACGATTTGTACAGTTTCGTATGAACTTGTTCAGTGAGAAATCATATTGTAATTTATGAGATCTGCCGAATAAAAAACATACTAAGAGATATTCTTTGATCAATTCTTGGAGTCAAAGAAAAAAGTAACTTTAAATTGTTCTAAGAATAAAAAATGCTTTCCTATGAGATATTCTGCATTTCTCCCTAATTTTCAATATTTTGTTTTAATTTATATTTTCTATTAATTATAAATTTTATAAAAAGTTTATAATCTTTGATCCTTTTTGAGTAGTAATATTTTTTATTCTAGTCTTCCTATTATGAAGAAAAAATTTATAAAATTTATAAAATCTATTTAAAAAAATGCTAGATATGCAAGCGCACGCTATACACGCACGCCACTTTTTCTTTTAATCGCGAAAAATATAAAATATGTACAATTGTCAAAAACTTCGCAATGACTACCGTTTCATCGACATGAACTGAGTGCAACGAAAAAATTAATCGGCGTCGCAGAAAAGTGGCAAAAATAAACTACAATCGAGATATCGGATAATATATGCTTTCTTGAAAGTGGATATTTTTTCGTTAAAAAAATGACTATATAATGTATGGCAATGTAAAAATATTTTATTAATGTTTGCTATTTATGCAAAAGAAATTTATTTTTATTCTTTTTTTCAGATAAATAAAATATTATTTATAAAATAGTTTTTTTTCTAAAATTTTTGTGTTTATCACTTACAGAAAAAGCCATTTTTGTATCATGTTTCCAATTATGTTTCGCATAACATTAATTTCATAACGATCAAATAACAATTATGTTCTTCATGGTAACATTTCATATAATTATAATAATATTCACCATCCTTTCGGTAAATATTCGTATTTTGTTTTACAGCATACTCGTTTTAACAAATGTAGTTTGCAAGCATATAATTTTCGACCAGGTTTTTACGTCAAAGATGTAAAACTGACAACCGTAAATTGCCTATTTTCTGCAATCGAAAACTCCGTAATTGCCGGATTCAAACCCCGAATAAATTGAAACAGCAATATACGAATATATTTTATATATATCTAAATTCACAATCTAGTAATTAACTTTTTGATTTCTTATATTAAATTATAAAGCCAATACTTTTAAGTTTGTATTTATAAAAGTTAAACAATTATAATTCTTTGCATAGGTACTAATCTTTTTTTTAATATATAATATCAAAATATATGATTTTGGCAATGATGGGGACTATTTACGGTGCAAACAAAGTATCGTGACAAAACCAATCGCGAGAAAAGACAACAGAATTTTATTTATGTGGCGGCTCACCGCCACACCGCTGCACTGACGCGGTATAATACATCGCGGCGCCGCTACGCGCCGCAGGCCTTCTACCAGTTACAAGCTTGCGGACCCACCGCCAGGTTGCGCAGGCGGTGAAGAACCTTCTCGCGATCAAGCTTCGATCGACGAGATATAAAAGAGCTGCTCCGCAGATCTTTCCTCACTCACTCGCTTCAAGGCGAGCTCTCACAAAGGGCCCTTGAACGGAGTCACAGCTCTGCTTCGAAGAGCGCAACCAGCAAGTCTTCTCGACTTTTCACAGTGCCTGGGAAGGCACGGAAGCGAAAGACTCAGTCTCAGCTCTGACCGCACACCTCACATAGGATGTACAGCTACGGTCAGCTGACGCACCAGCATCGCCGTCGCCACCACAGACTCTACAGCGGAAAATAATTCCCTTAGAGTTCTGTGCCCGGTTGACTCGGCCCCCAACGTGACACTCACGTTCCGGGGACATCCGAATGCGAAGGCCTCTCCCGCCTCGGCTCGCAGACTCACTTGCGACTCACATCGAGAGCCGGACGGTCGCAGCGCATGGCACAACGGAGACAGACTCCACCGCAACGCAAACCTCACCGCCGGGATGCAACACGCACCCTCGCATGAATCGTCCTGTTAAGGACCCGATTCCAACCACGCAGACGCGGCCGGTAATATCTTACCGCGCCCGTCACCTTTCATTCGAAACTCGCGGCCTTACACTCTGCCGCGAATGCGCCGCTGGCGCACTCAAGTTACACATACACCTGTACATACATACTTCTCTCTGACAAAGAAATAAACACATTTCTACACAATTGACTCTATCTCACTTCTCACCAGTCGAACACAATCCATTAGGCCATACGCCTATAATTTATTTTCCTTTTCTAAGAATAAATACAAAAGAATAGAAAATCATACTACGCGTAAATGATCAATATCCCATTGTTACGCACTATAAATTAATAGGAAAAATTCATTTTGACATCATAAAGATCGCGGAAAACACTTTTTTGCCGATACCTTTTATGAGACATTAATTTCATTTTGTATCATTTATGAAAATCTCGTTTTAATCTATACCCGTGTAGAAAAAATTAGGACGAGCTTTTTGTTACGTTAAAATGGAATATAATTTTAATAGAACAAAGTATTCCTTCCAGTTCGCATTATCATAACTTTCAGAATTTAATTGCGCGTGGTTATACATCGTCGAATGTCCAGTATAATTCTTTTCACTCTTTTATTTCTTTAATATCTCTATTTTTCACATTATAATTTTCACGTTATATTACATTGAATAAATCTTGATAAAAAAATAAATTTTACGTTTTCTCATCTAGATTCCAAAATGGATCGAAAATACTGATATGTTTTTAATTGTCTCGATAGATTTAATACTTAAAGAAGCTTTAATATTTCTTTCTTCTTCTTTACCTCCCCCTCCTCTCTCTCTCTCTTTCTCAAGGAGGTTTATAGTCGAAAAAATTACATAAATAAAAAAAAAAAATAACGCCAAAATACAATGAAGCCGAAGAAGCGGGTCGCACGGGGCCCTTCGCCTTCTTCGCTGAACTTGACCGAGTTTCCCCGTTCACCGGGTAACCGGGCAAGGTATGTAAAGTGGACAGCATTCATCCTTGAACATTGAATCAGCATGTAACATGATTAGGTCATTAACGCCCTAACCAAGTTAGCATAGTGCGAGGGACTTCGCTCGCCACGCTTACCCCGGGACCGTGCGACCTGGTAGGTATCTACGTTCGTTCATAAAGCCGGCGTCGCGACGCCGTGCCGCGCCGCGCCGCGCCACGCCGCGTCTCGTCGTGCGGCAACCAAGACGACGACGACGACGATGGCGGCCATGGACTTCTCGCGTTGGAGGTCGAAAGTTCGGTACGAATCGCGCCTTCCGTGGAATATCGAATTTTCCGGCTGTGAAAGCGATACGGGAAATCGAGTTTCGGCCGCTTCGTCGTCTCGACACTACTCCTGTCCGACTCTTTCGCCGTCTAACGGATGAACAATACGTACGGGAATCTGCGAAGGGGATTGACCGAGCGTTTACGTTCAGCGAGATCGTTAGCAGAGTTTGTTTATTACGTTGGCTTGGGAAAATGTCAGATAACTCGATTTAACCGTAAAAAAGAGTTTTCTGGCGTGGCTTGGTATCGTTGCGCTTTCACGCGATTTCTTTAGTCGAAATGATCGTTGAAACATTTCGCGAGATTATGCAAAGTTTATTTATGAATTCGCGAATCTTCGAGAATTTGTCGCCTTGTGCAATTCTTTTCCAACTTTATTTTCTATAAAAAGTAAGTGTGTAATTGTATCGCTTAAAACGAGAAAAATGTAGTCGCTCCTTTAGGATAACTAATAGCTCTCTGTATTATGCAAAATGAACCATTTAGCAAAAATATCTTTAAAATATTAACAAAATTTATTATAACTTAACACGTTGCTATTGCGGTATCTATTCGACATACAATTTTGCTACTCAATACATTATTTGACGGCCACTAATATGTCATTAAAATAATTTCAAGCGCAATCGGCGAATAATGTAATTTATGAAATTATGAAGTAATTGCACATCCATGCAGAATACGATTGACTAATGTAATGTTAACAAAGTTGAAATCTATCTGTCGTTATCAACACGATATAGGCGCTAACATTGTCGCAGTTTAATATAAAACAAAAATGCGAAAATATATTCTTTTTTTTTCAAAAAATCACTTATTTTGGATAATAGTCTTTTTCGAATAATTATGTGAAAATGTTCTCTATGTTAAAGTTGTTTTATCCTTTGTCGTAGGAGCAGAAGGCGCTTTTAAAAAGTTAAAACCTGACCCCTGCGCCTCCAGTCCTCATATTGGTCACACACCTACCACAGCTAGTTGTCCAACACCCGCCCGACGGCGACATAGGACCACCTTTACGCAGGTTTGTGCAAAAGTAGAGAAATGTGTATTTTTTCTATTTTTGATTATAATTAAAAAAGTTTTCTTTCGTCATACTGACGTCTTTTTTTTAATATATTTTTTTTTATCAGCAAGATTTCTCAGAAACATATATTCCTCTGGAGAACATTGAACTCTTTCATCGATAATGACATTTCGATTAGCTTCAATCTTTCGCATCGCGTCCAAATTTCCTGCTGGATAGTTCAAATCGGCCTTTACCACGGCTTTCCAATTGTTTCGCAGGAGCAGCTGGCAGAATTGGAATCGGCGTTTGCAAAATCTCATTATCCGGACATATACTGCAGGGAGGAATTGGCGAGGACCACCAAATTGAACGAGGCCAGAATTCAGGTGAGTGTGCTGCTCTTTTCGCAGTTAGGAAAAAAACAAACGATTTTTCGAGTCGTACGAACGAAAAGCATCCTAGATATTTGATTCAATCAATAATGCGCCGCGCTGTTCCATCTGCGTGTAATTTACAAGAAAATATAAACTCAATAACTTTTAAAAAATCTGAAAATAATTTTAATTAGTGACCGAGGACAACTCGCAGTAAATCTTCACATACTGTTGTTACGTAGTCGATTCAGCGTATTTCTGGACATTGTATTTATAATGTCACGTAGGTTTAGTAACATATTTTTATCATTCCGCGCTATCAATATAACGACATAATTTTGTTATGCGACGCGTTTATGGACAACGATGAAAAATTTGTAGGCATACTTATCTCCTGCCTATCTTTTTGACTGTGACTCACTGCGTAATTGAATCAAAGACGCATGTGGGGTGATAAAATGAAATTACGGGCGCAAATGTCGGTCCAAGACACCCTATATTCTTTGAGGGTCGTGGAATCGATCAGAGGGGGTGGAGACGTTTTCAATATATTTCTTAATAATTCAAAGTGTCCACGTCAACGTTAAATAAATTTAAACGTCAATTCTAGCTTTAATCGTCTTGCGGCGGATGTAACTTTTCACATCATTGATATCGAAAACATTTAAAACGTATCTGTAGTAGAATTTTTACGAAGAAAAAGAAACTAAGTTCCACGAAAAATTATAGTAGTTATATTTTTAATTTCTCCGACATGAAAACGCGAGTTTCTACGACAGTGATGCGGTTTGTGATGACATTAAGGGCGGAGGATTTGGTAATGAGAGTGAGAAGGGTGAAGGGGAGAAGGAGGAGGAGATGTCGGGGACCGGCTGTAGCGGGCGCGCGTTACGGCCCCGAATTCCGAGCGAGAGCGGTACATATTAAAACAGTCGCCGGTGCGTTGCGCTCTTTTGATATATAATGCAGCGGGGTGTTGTTTGAGTTAAAAGCCCGGGAACCGCCGCGACTTAACCCTGTTAAACTGCGATGCCAAGTAAAACGCGGTTTGCGCTCGTCGCTCGCCGGTTATAACCGATGCACAAAGTGTCCGCCGCGCGAGGGCCGCGCGCCACGAGGACGCACAACCCGCGCTTCCGCGGATGGTCCTATGCTCGTTCCGACCTCAAATACAAGAGGGAAAGAGAGAGAGAGAGAGAGAGAGAGAGAGAGAGAAGAGAGAGAGCGAAAGCGGCTCGCAGTTTTAAATGTCATTTCCAGTCGCTGGTTTTCCGGCGCGCGGCTGCCCCAGAATCGGCCAATTACCTGTAACCTGCAAAGCGCACGCCGTAATTAACGCTCGCGTCATCGCGGATTTGCGCATTTTGGCTACTTTCGGCGAACGGCAGCTTTATCTCATGCGGAACTTTTGTGCATTTTGATGCAGGAAATGCATCCCGTCTTATATTGATTTCTTACCGCAGATATCTACATTAATTTTTACCATCCATTCCATTTTATAAGCTATAAATATATTTGATGTAAAACACTGTTTAATTATATGCATATTCTCTCAATAATTACGTTAATAATTATCGGTGCTTCAAATACTTGAAAGATATTTAAAATAGATTATATAAATGGAATGGATAAAATTTAGTGTCATAATTGTAATGATTACTGTTGATATAACGTTAGAGCAGAATTAATTTGGCAATTTTAATTAATCTTGCAATATGGAATTGAAAATCTCTAAAGTAGCTGTTTCTGCACTGCAAAATGCTGTTCAATTATAATCCAATTTTAGCACATTTATCTAATTCGTGTAAAATAATATCGATAGATCACAATACAAAGTAATACGTGCGCAAAATTCGGATTTTCTTCTATAATTTTCGACGGGAAGAGCGAAGAGGAAAATTTTGTCGTCCCCTGGAGGAATTGAGGGGCCGGTTTGAGTTTAGGAAGGTATCTATCGCAAAACAGGGATTCTCGGTGGAAGAAAAAGGTAGGATGGCGGTCGCGTAAGAAAGGGGGCCCTTGTCTCTCCCGGCGTTCTTCCCAACCCTTCGCGCTCCGCCGCCATCTCGCCCTCGCCGCTCGTCTCGTAGTGGAAGGAATAGCGAGCCCGGCAAGCCTGAGACGTTTCAGATCTATCTAGGGTGGAGAAAATTCAATTTAAAATGGCGGCTCAGATATAATGGCAGCCTCCGGTACAGCGTCACCCAACCCCCTGCGCGCCCAACTCATCTCAACTTTGCCACCCTCGTTCGCCGTCTATTTCTCTCTCGTCTTCGCCGCCTCCACGGCCCGTGTCGCTATCTTTGAGAAAACAGAATGCCATGACTAGCGCGGGAGCTTTTAAAGAGACGACTTCTACATCCACGACGTCACCCGATTGGCGGCTCTCGTTAAAAAATACGTCGAGTGCACTCTCGAGGCGCGTTGCTGTTTATAATTTTGTCTACGCAGTAAAAATAGTCGCAAAGTCAGCGATGTGCAAATATAATTTTTTTCGAAGACTTGTTAATTTTGTCGATTGTCCTCGTCAGAAAACGTATAGGTATTTTTTATATTCAGCACTATATTTGGCATATAAATTAACAGACACGTTACGTAACTTTAAATAGTTACAACTTGAAATAATTGGAAAATATTTCTAAACAAGAATATTCCGCAAAGCCTCCTTGATGAAGTTATAGTTTAAGTTTCTATTGCATGATCTGTCCCTGATGGTGACATAAATGCTACGCGATTTGCAATTTCTCTAAACGCGCAAACGCGTATTAGTGCACGTTGAATGAGCGTTTTCCAGGCGAAACACGGTAAAACCTTGCATGGGATCGTTTCCGACCATTTATATCATTTCGAGTGAGGTTTGCAGGAAACTTGGCAGGAAGATGTAATGTGTTGCTTCGTATACGTACGTAAACATGCAAATAAATTTAATAGGACGGTAAAACTTTGTCGCAGAAAATGTTCCCGCTTGATAATTGCAATTATTATTTCTATATCTATTTCTTGATTTTATCAAATAGGAAATTTATTCATTCTTAAATAAATTGCATATATGTGTATTAAGCATCATATTTATGATAATGCCAATTCAGTTACATAATGAAATATTAATAAAATGTTCTCACAGTTTTTGCGTCAAATTTGTAAGGGTAATGTATGTTGAGAGATCGTGAAAGTATTTATGACAATAATGATAATAATAATAAAAAATCGGGTAACACTGCGTGGTAAGAGAATAATTCTCGAATCACCGCACAAGAAATCCCATTACGCCGAGGAAAAAGAAAAGAGAAGCCCGAGCTCCGCGATATTGAGTTAGCCGAGTTTTCATTTGACCTTTTTACTTCGATTCGACTTCCGATCGAAGCCTACCTACCGGGCGTTTTACGAGAAAATCGGCTTTCTACCTGACAGGAAATTTGTGGCAAAAATCACTGGTAGATGTCTTATTCTTTAATTTTATATATTTTCCGCGTTTATAAATAATAGTTCACGGAATAATTACAATTATGAAGCTTTCCAAAATATGTAATTGTTTCATTAAAAGTATCAATGTAGAGATAATTATCCTATCATTTTAGAAACGACATAAGACTCCCTGAATCAAATTCTTGAATTTGAAAATACTGTCAGTTAAAAAAAATTACCATCTAATTATGAAAAATAATTCACGCATTTTTTCCTACGATTTAAGTTTGAATTATTCGTAAAATGCGAAATAAATTGCAATTTTTAGAATCTTCAAAATAGAATTTAAAAAAATAAAAATTGTAATGCTAAGTAATTCGTTTTTAAAGTTGATTTTGTGTATACTACAGAATTATATATGATACTACACGATAATAAATATAATTCCAATTATCATATGCGACCATGTCCATAATCCGTGTCTGAAATAAACGCGCAAGCAGCACATCGTTACAGGTCTTACGTTCTCTTGTTCTTTTTCGGTGAGAAAGCCATTACCCATGTATCCATTTTCCCGGGCTCTAGTATGTGGGTTAGCTATCAGAGTGCAATATTCTCTCAGGCATACAGGAGGATAGTTTTCTCGGTCGCGGTCCTCAAAGTAGCAGACATTTTGAGCCGCGTTCCCCGTGGGACAGCCATCTCGCTCTTCCTCCCGTCCTCTTTCTCTCTATCCGGTCTATCTTTCTCTATGAGCGAACGTGGGGAAGGAGAAGAGAGCGCGCGGTTATTGAATTACGAACTCTTAGCTTTCCAGTTCTTGCAGAGTGCGCGCCTTAAGGGACGCGAACGCGCTCGCGCGCGCAAGTATGTTCTCAAAAAGCTCTTCTAGAGAAGAAGTAAATAAAAGGAATCACTCTTTTACCGGATCTCTTCGGGCAACGCGTTCCACCCGTCCGTAAATGCGTACGGTATGTACAGGATGCACCAACATTGGCGGACAGCGCGGATACATAGCGTTAAAAAGTTTGCAGTCGACTTAATAAAAATGTCGAGAAACATATCTTATTAACTAGCTTGAACTAAAAAAATGTCGTTTAACGTAAAATATATACTTCAAACTACAAATAATTCATCGTAATTTATTTTTGTTTCGTTGAGGCTTAATTAGCAAGTATTTTCTTTTCAAGCGCTTGTCGGGATAGCGTCATAGCCCGAGAATTATGAGCGCTTCGATATTTTCACTAACAAAAATCGACTGCAAAATTGAAAATATCCATCCACTTTCTGCCAATTCTGGAACGCTCTGTATATATGTACATAGATATATGTGTCTATCCACAATGGCATTCTCGATAGTGAAGATACGCCCCGTTTTAGATTTTAGGGGAACGCGCGATATCGAGCTAAACGAAGCGCAGACAATGCCATTTGCATACACACGGCGGAAATACAAGCATGTACACGAAAAATTTTCAAGAGAGAAGACGAATATAGGAATTGAGCTCTTATCGGAACTTTCGGAAAATTGTTCTTGTAAAAATATGAGATCAGAAAAATAATCAATCAAGTTGGTATTTTTAATGTAAATCTAACTTTGAAAATCTAGTTAAAAAAAGATTTTGCGTTAATCTTCGTTTATATTTTAAGCTCGAAAATTAGATTCACATTACTTTCAGAAAAATACACGATTTAAATACACAAATTATTAAATATATCTCTTATAAATAGTTTTAAAAAATATTATACTCTCTCTCTCTCTCTCT